GCTGGCGTGGGATCGGGCAGTGTTTCATTCTGCTGTGCATGGGGGGTCGCTATGAGTCGGAAACGACTCGACGGCACTTAACAACAACAACAGGAAATCTGATATACTGATATTGGCTTCCTGGAAGAAATGGCAAGTGCTGTGCATCCTCGTGCCTTTGAAAGAGCAGCCTTTTGCCTTCAGGAAGGGTTCCCCAAGTACAGCAATCATGTAGGCTTCAGGGAAAGGAATTTTCAGTACTGTGCTTATGCGACTATAAATCAGTACAAAAATTTGAGAAAGTAATTTGGTAATAAGGATTAAGAGTTTTGATGATATTTATAAACTTTAATCCTGTAATTCTACTAGTCCAAATGTAGAAAAAGTTATAGATATAGTGATGTAAAATATTTAAGAATGCCGTTATACAATATTTTAGTATTTTGATTCTTTTAATTAAACAATTAGGCATTACTTATTGTAGCCAGTTTTTAATTTAGGTGGAGCCATTTCAGTTATTTGCTATTCCTTATTGCAACTCAGATGTCCCTCTGGGTGAAAGTTCCTACAGTGAGAGTGTGCTGGTAGTAAACTTTTATTTTTCTTTCCTTTTTTTTTTTTTTAATTTTTTTTTTACCGGGAGGGAAGTCTGGTAATGTCTTGATTTTGACCTAATTCTTGAAGGATAGTTTTACTAGACAAAGAATTCTAGGTCAACAATTACTTTCTCTCAGCAATTGAAGATTTTATTTCATTGATTTCTGACTCCATTAGTTGCTATGAAAAATCAGCTCTCAATCTCATTGTTGCTTCATTATCAATAATCTTGTTTTTACTTTTTCCTTTTAAGAACTTTTCTTTCTCATTGATATCCTGCAGTTTGACTGTGTTCTGCCTTATTGTACTTTCTGAATTTGATGACTGGTATCTAACTAGTTCTGAAAAAATCTCTCTTTCTCTTTCTCTCTCTATTTTTTATTATTGCTTCTCTCCTCATTCTCTTCATCTCGAGGCTCCAGTGTGACTTATGTTGGAACTTCTCCCTGTACCCACCGTGTCCTTAATCACTCACGTTTTCCTTCTCTTGACTTTCTTTGCTTCATTCTGAGTAATTTCTTCAAAGCTTTCTTTTCATTTATGTTTTCCAGCTGTAGCTAGTCTACCTTTCAGCCCATACATACACAGTGGTTCCCAGATTTTGAAGTGGATCAGAATTGCCTCAGCAGCTAGTAAAGAACATAGGGACTCAGGCTCTCTTAAATAGGATAGGGCTGAGCCCTTGTGTTTCACTAAGTTCCCCAATGACTGTGATTCCCACTAACTTGGACAATCAGTACTATTGTGTTGTGTTCTTTTTCTATTTTTTTTCTTTTTTTAACCATATAATCTAGTTTTATTTATTAACATTAGCATCAGGGAGGAAAGGGAGAAAGGAAATCCCAAACTTAAGATAATCTATGTCATTTTTATGATCTTTTTGGCAATAGATTTATTTTTTTCAACATGCTACTTTACTATTTTATACTTTATTGTTGTTGTTGAGAATATACACAGCAGAACATGCAGTCATTCAACAGTTCCTGCATGTACAATTTAGTGACACTGATTACATTCTTCTAGTTGTGCAACCATTCTCACCCTCCTTTTCCAAGTTGTTCCTCCTCGTTTAACATAAACTCAGTGACCCTGAAGGTTCCTTTCTAATCTTTCAAATTGCTTTTGTCAGTTTGATCCCATATAGGTAGTTCTTGAAAAAGTACAATGCTCAAGGCAGACATTTTACTAGTAAGCTAAACTATTGTTTGGTTTTAAGAAGACTTCAGGGGATACTTTTGGTTTAAGTTTAATGATTGTGATTTTTCTTTTCCTTAGGTTACACATGGTTCCTTTTCAAATTCACCTGGTCAGCTTTGGTAGACCTTTCTCATTCTTTTAATTGTGTCCTTTATTCTTGAAATCTTTTGAATAGAAGTATTTTAAATTCTGTGCCTGATCACTATCTGTATTCTTTGGGAGTGTGATTCAGTTGTGTTGAATTATTGTTTTTTGCTAATTCTTGCTTGGATTGTTTCCTTAAGTGGTTAGTAATTTTTCATTTTGAATTCATGTTCTTGGAAAGGAATTTTCTCTGCAGGGATTATCTAAGGCTTTTGTTTAAAGCACTTTCTCCAGAGAGGATTTGCTTTTGCTTTTGCTTGTGCCAGCTGTCTGCAGCCATTGTCACCCAGGAACACTGGGAACTTACATTTGCGCTTGAGGTTTTGGGGTCCCACAGCTCTGTGAATTCAGATCCCATCTTGTCTAAAGGCAGGCTTGATATTAGGAAAGTTACTTTTTCTATTCCACCCAGAACCAAGAACGATATATAAGCCTATATCCCCATGGCCTACCTCGGAGAGGAGGGTTGTTTTTTTTTTTCCCATTTTTCTTAGGTCTCTTTCTTCAGGTGTCCTAGCTTTATGCCAGAGTGTTGGTGGTGGTGGTGGGGTATGGTCTCTGATCCACACTCTAGCCCTGTTTGGGACGTTTGGTTTTGTTTTCTGACCCCTGCCTATATGAACCATTAAGACCCAGAACCTACGCTAACATGGATCAGCCTACATCCCCAAAGTTATTACCAGTGCCCACTCACACTGAAGAGTTGGGCTTCTTTCTTCCTGACCTCCCAAGAATTCCTGTATTTTCTTTCCAGGACAGCTCTGTATTACTAAATATGTTTTTTTAAAATATATAATTATTTTTAATATTGATCTAACATTTTCAGTTGGACTGCAATGAGAGTGTTTCTATGATCATCTAGTGTGCCATGTTGCTGAAAATGGAAGACTCAAATCTTGCTATAAGATGTTGTAAGTCTGTGGTCTAATACAGAGGCAGCATAATTTATGAACAGCAAACCTTTAAAATTTTATATGCTCCTGTGTCTGTTTTTTTGCTAAAAGAAATATTACTGATTTGATAGCATCTGAAAAAACAACTTCATCTAAAAATGTTTACTTTGGTTATTAGCAGTTTATGGCATTGTTTACTTTGTATTAACTTTAGCCACTTAATGTTTTTTTCCTTTTATTATTTTAAGGAGGTAATTGAGTTCTATGTTCAAAATGGAAATTCTATGGATAAATGGAAAAAACCTTTAGTGATTGATAAACTCAAGGTAAGAAAAATAAGAAACACTTTACCATTAAAAAATTTATATGCAAGTGTTTCTTTGAAGCTGTATTTTGTTTTTGTTGTTGTTATATATGTAGAGAAGATAATTATATCAGTAGGTAGTCCTGGTAGTGCAATGGCTAAGTGCTCAGCTGCTGACAAAAGGTCAGCTGTTTGAACTCACCAGTGGCTCCATGGGAGAAAAGATCTGGCAAATTTGTTCCTGTAAAGATTATAGCCTAGGTCATTCATTTATAGGTCATTATGAATCAACTCAATGACAAATAACTCGATGACCCACAGCACCACCAACACAATTGTATCAGTAATAACATTTTTTAAAGTAAGTTTAAAAATAGAATCCGTAATATAAAAATTTGGCTATCCAGTGCTCTTTATACGTTAAATGATGGTGACAGCCTCTTAGAGCTGTTCAAACAAAAAAGTATGATCAACACTTCTTACCAATACTCAGTTGAGGCTAATGTCAAGGCAAGACACTGGTCCCACATGCTCTTAATCCAAATTTCATGTTCTCAAATCTTAACAGCAACAAATGTGAGGAATGAATTTACAAAATAATATATTTGACATGGTTATAGCCAAATGTAAGAGATTTTGTAAAGGCTGTGATTAAATAGGAAGTACTGAAGTAAGCAAAAATTTTGTTTTCCAGTGAAATATAAGGAAGCTTAGAGGAAAAGACATTTCTTTTACAGTGAAACTGTTGACCTATAATGAATTAGCCATCAGTTTGTTTTGTACACTGTAGGATACAGCGAAGTAAATAACTCCATAGATGTTTTAAATTTCCAAAAGCATTATAAATACCAGTATCTTTTGAAAGCAACTACCCTAGGTCATGGTAAATTATGATCACTCTGGTGTGTTCATCACTTTGACAGGAAATGGCCAAAGCAGAGGGCCTCTGGAATCTGTTTCTGCCAGCTGTAAGCGGTCTCAGCCAGGTGGACTATGCCTTGATTGCCGAAGAAACAGGAAAATGTTTTTTTGCTCCAGAAGTCTTTAACTGCCAAGCACCAGGTTACAACATTATTTAAACATAGCACTTTTGCTGATATTTAGAGCAGTGTTTAACATTTCTTTGTTTTATGACAACAAGAAATTTTTTTTCTACTCAAAGTCATTGATTTATAAATTTGTCTATAATTCTCTTTTTTGGTTAGTTTGATTTAAATACTTAAAAAATGGATCTAGAGTTCTCATCAAGTTATTCTTTTGTTAAACATCATTACTATTAAGAATGTTAGAGAATACAAATCATCACCAGTGGGACTGGCAACATCAAGGATCTTGATGGGGGATTAGACATTTCTAAGCCTAGATGGAATGGGTTGTTGTTGTTATGTGCCATCGAGTCGGACCCAACTCATAGCGACCCGTCCTTGGGTTTCCAAGGTACTATCACTATGGAAGTAGATTGCCCAACCTTCCTTCCAAGGAGTGGCTGGTGGGTTTGAACTACCAGCCTTCTAGTTAGCAGTCAAGTGCTTTAGGCACTACGCTACCAGAGCTCCCAGATGGAATGGGTAGAGGGTTCAAAATCTTTTGGTTGCCCTCACCATCTCTCCATTCATTCATCAGTTATTTATTGATCATATATTATGTGCCAAGTACTGTTCTAGATCCTTGGGATATATCAGTGAAGCTGACACTAATGAAGAGCAACAAAAATTAACAATAAACATAATAAATAAGTAAATTATAGAGTAAGTTAAAAGAGGAAAAGTGCATTGGGGAACAAAAAACAAAGCAGGGTAGGGGGGCTCTGGAGTGGTAAGGGGACAGGGATTTGGAATTCTAAATAGAATGGTTAACATAGGTTTTATTAAAAAGGGGATATTTGATAATGACCTGAAGAGGTGAGAGAGTTAGCCTGCTGATATCTGGGAGAAGAAGTTCATAGCAAAGGGAACAGAAAATATAAAGGACTGAAGGCAAGAATGTGATTGGTGTGTTTCAAAATAGTCAAGGAGGCTAACGTGTCTAGGAGAAGAATAGTAGGAGAAGAGATCAGAGAAATAAAGGGCACCAGATTACTTAAGGTGATATCAGGAAGAGAAGTGAGGATTTTAAGCACAGAAGTGACAAGATGTAACTTCAGTTTTGAAAGACTCTGGTGGCATAGTGCCTAAGGCACTTGACTGCTAACCAGGAGGCTGGCGTTTGAAACCCACCAGTCACTTCTCAGAAGGAAGGTTGGGCAATCTACTTCTGTAGTGATACTACCTCAGAAACCCAAGGAGGGGTCGCTATGTGTTGGATCTGACTCAACGACAGTGGGTATGGTATGGTATGATATGTTGAGACTTGACTGAAGGAGGGATAGAGGGAATCAGCGAGCCTGTTCTAATAATTCTGGAGAGATTATGGTTTTGGACTAGGGATGTAACAGTGGAGGGAATGACAAGTGGAAATATTCTAAATATTTCTCGGCAATCTCTTGGCAGAGCCAAGAGGATTTCCTGAATGAATATGTAGTATTTATCAAGGGGTCAGGGATGACTCCAAGGGCTTTGGTGTGACTGATTGGAATGATGAAGGAAAGAAATCATCCTTTCTTTAGAAAGATGAAAGGAGTAAGCCTGGACTGTAGTCTATAAGAGGAGTTTCAAACCTGGATTTGCAGAAGAGTCACCCAAGGAACTTTTTATTAAACAAACAGATCCCCAGAACCTATCCCTGGTGATTTCAATTCAGCAGGTCTAAGGTAGACCCTGCAAGTTCTTTCCCAAGACACCCTGGCTATTCTGATGCAGCCAGTCAAGGCCTAACTGTTGATTTGTAGTCGAAGGATGTAGTATTCTATGCTCCAGTGTCCTTTGACATGTCAGACCTCAGTATTGCTTTTTGTGCTTATTGTATGGCTCAGGTACTAAACTTCTCCCCAGAAGGGTTAATGGAAGGTAAAACTGCCCCAAAATTGGTATGTTGGACTATATTGTATTTCTGAGAGAAAAACACAGTCTAGATTTAGCAAAATGGTTCCACATTGGACTTTGATTCTATCATCTCCTTGGAGCTGTTAAGATATTTAGTAGACTTTTGATGAAGGTTAAACTTGTCCCTGGAATGCTTTTTCCTCTACCAAACACTTGTCAAATTACTGCTGTACTACACTGTAATAAAATAATAACTAACTCAAACTTACTGCCATGGAGTCAGATCAGACTCATAGCAACTTCTGGTTAGCAGTCAAATGCCTTAGGCACTACACCTCCAGAGCTCCTAATAAGGCTATTGTAAAACTAAAGAAAGTTGTCCACAGAGTTTCTAAAAATTTCATTTCATTTGTGTGAGGCTACAAAATCATGCTACATAGATAGTCGTTTAGTGTAGAATTTTTTTATTATTATTACTAATCTTGGTAAGAATATCTGCTGAGACGTCATCTGGATTATGAGCACATAGAAGCTGGAGTATATAGAAGAAGAACGCAGCATCAGGCTTGGAGGAAGACTAATTAACAACCTGCAGTATTCAGATGACACAATCTTGCTTGCTGAAAGTGAAGAGGACTTGGAGCATTTTCTGATGAAGATCAAAGCCACCAGTATGGATTACACCTCAACTAAAGCAAACAGAAATCCTCACAACAGGACCAATAAACAACATCATGACAAATGGAGATAATATTGAAGTTGTCAGCAGTTTCATTTTACTTGGATCCACAATCAATGCCCGTGGAAGCAGCAGTCAACAAATCAAACACCATATTGCATTGGGCAAATCTACTGCAAAAGAGTTCTTTAAATTGTTGAAAAGCAAATATGTCACCTTGAGGAGTAAGGTGTTCCTGACCCAAGCCATGGTATTTCCAATCTTATAGGCATGTGAAAGCTGGACAATGAATAAGGAAAACTGAAGAAGAATTGATGCCTTTGAATTATGGTGTTGGCAAAGAATATTGAATATACCATGGACTGACAGAAAAATGAGCAAATTTGCCTTGGAAGAAATACAGCCAGAACGCTCCTTAGAAGTGAGGATAGTGTGATTTCATCTCACATATTTTGGACATGTTATCAGAAGAGACCAGTCCCTGGAGAAGGGTACCATGCTTGGTAAAGTAGAGGGTCAATGAAAAAGAGGAAGACCCTCAGTGAGGTGGACTGACACAGTGGCTACAACAATGGGTTCAAACATAGCAACAGTTGTGAGGAAGACACAGGACTGGGCAGTGTTTCTTTATGTTGTATGTGGGGTCCCTATAAGTCGGAACAGATCCACCCCACCTTACAACAACAACATAGTAAAAAACATATTTTATATTGTGACCCAATATATAATATATACAGTTGTATGTGTGTATGTACATTTGTGTGTACACACATATAAATGCACATGCACACACATATAAACCCTTTGCTGTCAAGTCAATTCTATCTTATGGAAATCCCTGGTAGTGTAGTGCCTAAAGCATTTGACTACTAACCAGAAGGCTGGCAGTTCAGACCCACCAGCCACTCCTCATAAGGAAGGTTGGGCAATCCACTTCCGTAGTGATACCGCCTTGGAAACCCAAGGAGGGGTCGTTATGAGTCAGATATGACTCTATGGCAGTGTTTTTTTTTTTTATTATTTTAGGGTTTTTTTTTTTTTAATTTTAGGCTGTAATATTTATGGAAGCAGACTACCACATCTTTCTTATGCCTAGCAGCTGGTGACTTTGAACAGCCATCCTTTTGGCTAACAGCCGAGCACTTAGCCACTGCACCATCAGGGCTCCCACACACATACACATATATACATATATGCATATATATGTGTGTGTGTGTATATATATATATATATATATATATATATATATATTTGTATATTACTAAAATAAAGTTTTCATGAACAAGTACTTTTCCTTACTACAGGCAGTGCACTCAAATACTTTCTAGTGAGTTTAATGTAATGCATTGTTTTATTCCATGCCATTTTTTAGAAATTATTAGCCATATTCCATTAAGCTAATTTCTTGACCCATTAATGGATTATAATATGAAAAATAATGCTACAAGACTTGCTTTGTAGACACAACTCAGCCATTATTGTTCCATTTGACCTGTGAACTCACATGGTCATGGACTTTTTCTAATATTAAAATATCACAAGTCTTATCAGTTGTACTGTCTAAATGATATCACCAGATGGCTGAAATTTTAAAATTGGGAAGACAGGTACATTTTCTTTAACCAAGTTATGATCAACAACTCTCTTAAGCAAACAAGAGACAAACCATAAATAGAAAGCTAGGCGTTTTCTCTTCATGGTGGAGATAACTTCAGGAAGGCCTCAGGGTGTTATGTTTTGGGAGCATTTCAAAAAAGGATAAAGGAAGAAATATAATTAATCTCTATAAATACTCTCTAAAGTGGGTAAATATAAAAGATATATTTCTATTTGTGCAGTCCAAATAATTTCCCAAACAGTTGTAAAACTTATGGGAAACACATAACTTTTTTTCTCTTTTGTCATGATTGAATTGTAACCCCAGCTGGGTCGTGATTCTCAGTGGTTTGGCAGTAATGATGTAACATAATGATAATCTGATGTGATCAGTTAATCAGTTGTAAGTGGATTAAGGTGGGATGTAACACCCTTGCTCAGGTCATAACCCTGATCTAATGTAAAGGGAGTTTCCCAGGGATAGGGTCTTTTATCTTAAAAACAAAACAAAACAAAAAAAAACTCATGGCCTTGTAGATGGACTCAACTCATAGCAACCCCTCCTTGGGTTTCCAAAGCAGTATCACACAGAAGTAGATTGCCCAACCTTCCTTCCGAGGAGTGTCTGATGGGTTTGAACTGCCAGCCTTCTGTTTAGCAGTCAAGTGCCTTAGGCACTATACCACCAGAGCCCCTACAAGACGTAAAAGGAGAGAGAAGCAAGCAGAGGAGGGACCTGACTACCACCAAGATAAAAGAGCCAGGAGTGGAATGTGTCCTTTGGACCCAAGTTTCCTGCATTGAGAACCTCCTAGATCCAGGGGTAGATCAATGCCAAGACATAGATATACCTCCAAGGAGCTGTG